TATATGGATTTCCAGTTTTCCCAGCACCATATGTTGGAGAGGCTATTTTTTTCTCCAACGTGTATGTTTTTGGCATCTATATCTAGTATCAGGTGACAGTATTTATGTGGGTTTGTCTGTCTTCTATTCTATTCCACTGATTTTAATTGTCTGTTTTGGTGCCAGTACCATGCTGTTTTCATTTACTATAGCTCTGTAGTATAATTTGAGGTTTTGCATTATGTTGCTTCCAGCATCACTTTTCTTGCTCAGTATTCTTTTGGCTAATATGGGTCTCTTATTCTTCCAAATGAATTTTACAAATTTTTTCTAGTTCTGTGAAGAATGTCATTAGTATTTTGATGGGGATTGCATTGAATCTGTGTAGTGATTTTGGTAATATGATAATATTAATTCTGCCTATCCAAGAATATGGAAGGTCTTTCCATCTTCTAAGGTCTTTAATTTCTTTCTTCAGTGTTCTATAGTTTTCATTTTAGATGTCCTTCTCCTCCTTTGTTAGTGTTATAGCATATTATTTTTTTTAGGTAATAGTGAATGGTATAGTTTCCCTAATTTATTTTTCAGCAAGTTTATTATTGAAGTGTAGGGAAGGGATTGATTTATATATGTTAATCTTGTATCATACTACTTCATACTACTTTACTAAATTTATTTATCACCTCTACAATTCTTCTCTTTATTTGTTTCTTTTTTTGTGAGTGTGTGTTCTAAATATAGGATCATGCCATGAGCAAACAGAGATAGTTTGAGTTCTTTATTTCCTATTTGTATCCCTTTCATTTCCTTTTCTTGCCAGATTGCTCTGACTAGACTTTCAAGGCCTATGTTGAGTAGGAGTGGCGAGAGAGAGAGAGAGAGAGAGAGAGAGAGAGAGAGAGAGAGAGAGAGAGGGGGCATCCTTGTCTTGTTCCTGTTTAAAGAGAAAATGCTTTTAGTTTTTCTCTGTTCAACGTGCTATTGGCCTTGGGTTTGTCACATATAGCCTTTACATTGCTGTTCCATCTATCCCAACTTCCTCTAGTGTTTAAACATGAATGTGTGCTAGATATTGTGATTTTTTTCCTACATCTATTGAGATGAGCATGTGATTCTTGTCCTTAAGTCTATTTATGTGGTAAATTTCATTTATTGACTTGCATATGTTGAACCATCTTTGCATTACTAAGATGAAACACATTTGATCACGGTGCACTATCTTGTCAATGTGTTTTTAAATGCAGTTTGCCAGTATTTTAGTAAATATTTTTGTATCTTTGTTCACCTATGATATTAGCCTGAATTTTTCTTTCTTTGATGTGTCTCTGTCTGGTTTTGGTAGGTCCTGGATTCATAGAATGATTTCAGCAGTGTTCCCTCCTCTTCTATTTCAGGTGATAATTTGAGGAGGATTGGCATTAATTTTTCTTTAAAGGTATGGTAGAAATTGGTTGAAAATCCATCCAGTCCTGGGCTTTTCTTTGTTGGAAAGTTTTTGATACCTGCTTTATTTTCATTACTTGATATCGATCTGTTTAATTTTTCTACATTCTCCTGGTTCATTTTGAGTAGGTCACATGTCTCTAGAAATTTTTCAATATATTCAAGATTTTCTAGTTTATTGGAATATAAATTTTCAAAATAGTTTCTAATGATCCTCTAGATTTCATTAGTGTCTGTGGTGATATCCCTTTTTTAATATCTACTTTCATTAATTTCAGTCTTCTCCCTCTTTCTTTGATTAGTTTGGCTAATGTTTTATCAATCTTGTTTATCCTTTGAAAGAACCAACTCTTTGTTTCACTGATTATAGCTGATTTTAATAATTCCCTGACTTCTGCTGATTTGGTTATTTGCTTTGTTCTTCTTTTTCAAAACCTAGAGGTACAATGATTGATTATTTATTTGGTATCCTTTTATTTTTAAAATGTAGGAACTCATTGCTACAAATTTCCCTCTTAGAACTGCCCTCATACTTTCTCAGATTAAAAAAAAAACATATTTTAGATGTAGATAGACACAGTACCTTTATTTTATTTATTTATTTTTATGTGGTGTTGAGGATCAAACCCAGTGCCTCACACGTTCTAAGTGAGCAATCTACCACTGAGCCACAACCCTAGCCCCTTCTCAGATGTTTTGATATGTTATGTCACTGTTCTCATTTGTTTCTAATTTTTTATTTCTCCTCTGATTTTTCTGCTATCCATTTGTCATTCAAAAGTATATTATTTATTCTCCAGATGTTAGAGTGATTTCATTTTTATCTTATCATTGATCTCTAATTTTATTCCATTATGATCAGATATGATGCAAGGAATTATCTTTATTTTTTGTAATTGCTGAGACTTGCTTTGTTACCTAAAATATGATCTATTTTAGAAAATATTCCATGTGCTGCAGAGAAGAAAGTAAATTCATTGATTAATGAAATATTCTATAGGTGTCTGGTACCTTCATTTGATTAATAATACCTTTTTAGTTCTGAAGAATCTTTACTCGGTTTATGTCTGGATGATCTGTCTAGTGATGAGAGAGGTGTGTTACTATATTGTGATCTATTTGATTTTTAATATTGAGAAGGGTTTGTTTATGTTTGTAGATGCACCATTGTTTGAAGCATAAATATTTACAATCATTATATTTTTGTTGGATGATTCCATTAACCAATACAATGAGAACTTCTTTTTCTCTTCTAATTAATTTTGGCTTGAATTTCAGTTTGACTGATATGAATAGCTAACCCTGTTTGCTTTCCAGTATGGTTTTCATGGTATATCTTTTACCACTCTTTCACTTTTAGCCTGTGGATGTCTTTGTCTGTGATGTGAGTCTCTTGCAAACAACATATTGTTGAGTCTTTTTTTAAAATACAGATGACCAATTTATGTATTTTGATTGAAGAATTTAAACCATTTATACTCACTGTTATCAAAGAGAGATGATTTTTATTTACTGCCATTTTGATTTATTTCTACTGTTTAAATCAGACTTGATTCTCTTTTAATTGACTATTCTTCTAGTGTAATGTATCCCTATGCTAGTTTTTATTTTTATTTTTCATTTCTTCTGCATGAAATATTTTGTTGAATATGTTTCGTAGTGGATATGAATTATTTTAGTTTCTTTTTATCATGGAAGGTTTTTCTTTCATCATCAACTCTGAAGGATAATTTTGCCAAGTATAGTAATCTTGGTTGGTACCCATTTTCTTTCAGTGCTTGGTACATATTATTTAAAGCCCATATGGCTTTTAAGGTCTGGGTTGAGAAATCAGTAGAAATCAAATTTGTTTACCTCTAAATTTACCTACTATTTTTTATCTTGCAGATATTTGGAGTTCAATGTGCATCTTGCATTTGAATTTCCATCTCATTCCTAAGATTTGGAAATGTTTCTAATATTATATCATTGAAAAGGTTGTGCATTCCTTTAGTTTGTATTTTGGAGCCTTCATCTACCCCCAAAGATTCTTAAATTCACTCTCTTGACTTTATCCCAGATTTTAATATTCTGGTCATAGTCTCTTAACATCTTTATTGTCACCTTTGTTTTCAAGATTAAGTATTTTGTCCTCAAGACCTAAAAATTTTTCTTCAAAATGGTCTAATCTATTGGTGATGCTTTATTGAATTTTTAATTTGTTTATTGTTTCTTTCATTTCTAGGATTTTTGTTTGGTTCTTTTCAGAATCTCTATCTCTTTATTGAAGTGATCTTTTACTTCTTGTATTTTTTCTCTAATTTTGCTCCTTACATCATCTTTTATCTTGTTGAACATTTTAACTATGAACTTGAAATTCTTTCTCTGACATTTATTTCATTCTGGTGTTTATGGAATCAGTTGTTGAAGTGTTATAGGCTATTTGGGGTGGTTTATTCCCTTGATTTTTCATATTGCTTGTATGTCTACCCATATATTGGGACGATTATCATTTATTCTTTTATGCAAGGGACTCTTTTATGAGCTTATTTCTCTTAAGAAATATCTGATTACTGATACTTTAACTTATTGTGTGGCCTCTACCATTCTCAGCATCAGCAATACAGTGCAAGAAGCTACTGAACCCTATTTACAATCATCACTTCAGAGCAGTGATGTACTATTCGACCTTATGAAAAATGCAAAACTTGTTGATATTCTTCTCCACAGTTCCTCTAATCCAGGTATAAACTTGTAATAAAGTTCTGGAATAGGTCAAAAATTAGTTATTAAATATAATAAAATTGCTATAACATTTTATAGGGATTGAAAGGGGGAAGAGAAAAATTGGGCAGAAGAGAGAAAAATATTTAACAAAAGTAAAAGTAAAAATAGAAAAGAATAATTCACCCCAAGTTAAAAGTGAAAAAAAAAAGATGGATGGGGGATTTGAGGCAGTAACAGATAATGTAAGAGGGAGAAGAGGGGGTAAGAGGAGCAAGAATAAACCAGAGCTATGAAAACAAAAAAAAAATTCTAATCAATGCTTTAAACCATTAGAAGAAATACAGTCAAAGGGTTTGAGGACAATGTTGGCTGTTAGTGTAACAAATGCCAAATCAAGATAAAGAGTGATCACAATTACCAGCAGTGGCCATGGATCAGTCTGGGTGACATCTCTCTCCCCATGCCCTAGACCTAGGAAGCTATCTACTTTGATGACCTCACACCAGCTATGATCATGATCCAGGCACCATCCCATTAGGCTTCTTGGACTCAGGCAACTTCCCTCCATTATAGGCCTCCTGCCAGTGGCAGCTTCAATCTGGGGATGTCCCTCTATGCTTCTGGGGATATAGGTAGCTTCCTGCCTTGGAGAGCCTTCTGCCAACTGTAGCAGTAATCTGCATGCCTTTCCTTTCCTCTACCAGGGACCAAAACTGCCTTGCTTGGATGTGAGCTCTTGCTTCCTGCTGCTGTGAATTAAAGTTGTGTGTTCAGTTTCTTCCTGGGCTCCTGCAGAGGCTTTGCAGAGCTGGGTTAAGCTAGCACTTACTGAGACAGAGTTACTCCAGCCCACTTCCCTTATTCAAGGGGAGGGGGAGGGGGTTTCAGCAACTTTTGGCTAGTAGCTATCCCTGTATAAGTTCTTTCTAGACAGGATGTTTAAGAGATCTCACTGCAGGGTGTTCCCTCTGGTTTTTGTCTGTTGCTATCTGGAGGTGGAAAGATGTCATGTTGATTTAAAGGACTACTAGTCAGCTGCAGGCTCCAGGAATTGCTGCAGAATCAGGTATGGCTTTCCATTCAAGATTTGGTTTTAAACTTCTTGATTTGCTTTAAAAACCCGACTTCTCCTGTCACATTTTAATTCAGTCTCATTTTTTCAAGCTGTTGAAAAGTGGGTGAGTTTGTGTGCTTTTCTCTCCTTTCCCCCCAACCCTACTCCACCATGGTAGCCTGAGTTTGGCTCCAGTAACCAAACTTCAAGTCTCTCCAAATCTCAGACTGTCAAATATTGGGTCTTTCAGAATTTATTCTGTCACCCACCTCTCAGGTCAGCTATTCCTTCACTATCTCTCTTCTTTGTTGTGGAGAGAGCAGGGTTTACTGCACAGCTCCATTCTGCCATCTACTTCTCCAACCACATTGTATATTAACAAAAACAATTTACTTTTTCTTCACAATTCAAGTTATTTTGATTTCTTTCTCTTGTTACAAGCCCTGACTAAAATCTCACCTACAGTGTTAAAATTGATAATGAAGAAGACATGCTCAAAATGTTTCCAAATGTAAAGGAAGGGCAATAGACATATTGACAACACATAAAATGTTGGCTGTAATATATTTGTTGTTCTATATAACCTTCATCTGATTGAGAAGTTTTGCTGAGAGTTTTATCATGAATGGGTGTTGAATCATTAAATGTTTTTTTTTTTTTTTTCCTGCATCTCCTGAGATGATAATAAGGTTTTCCTCATTTGGTTATATTTATTGATTTCCCAATATTAACTCAACTTTGCATTCCCTTGATATACCTTATAAGTTATGATGCATTTTTTTGGTGTGTGTCACTAATAAACTATATCATGACAGATATTAGTTTATACTTATCTTGTTAGAGCTTAATTGTTGAATTCAAGAGGATTATTCAGAAGTTCTAACCCTATTTTATGTGTTTTGTGAAGATTTTTCCTCAAGTAATCCATACATTTTATTTGAGCTATTGAGTATATTGACATGAAGTTGTTCAAAATACCCCCTTATTTACTTTGGTTTTCTTTGTACAATGATTTTATAATTTATGAAATTATATATGACTATATAATTTCTCTCCTTCTACACTTTGAACCATGATTTCTATAGAGCATTTTCTGCTTATCAGTTATCTCTGACTAAATATGATTATACAACTGTCTTATCAGGTACTCACATGTTTATTTACCTGTTTAAAATCTTCTTTTTATATATGGTAGATCTGAAGAACCCATACTCATAGATACTGTGAAAATATAATTCTTTTTCCCAAATGTAACAATAAATTATTTGACATCTTGGGTTTTAGATTGTGAGGTAATGGAATTGATCTTCTTCACAATGATACAGTAATTGATAGTGTGTCTATTTTATGGTATACATAAGTTTGTCACCAAAATGAAAGATGTGAGAAGCAAAATATGTTTATTGTTATGAATAACTTTCATATACACTCATCCAAATTTTCTATCTAACCTTCTCTAACCTGCTTTGTACATAGGAGGCTGAAGTATACAGACTGCATTAACAAGCTCTATGAGTTAAACATTAAATTGGGTATATGGCTACACCCATCGTATGGGGTTACATCCCAATAAACACATTGAAAACTGAAAATATTGTAATTCTAAAATGCATTTAATACATCTAGCCTACTGAACACCATAGCTTAGCAACACAGAACAACTGTAGAGTTTCTGTTGTATGGTTCATGAGTGCATGGCTGTCCTGGAAGCTGTGACTCATTGCCAGTGCCCATTACTGTAAGACAGTATTGTAAGGTATATTGTTAGCTCAGGAAATTCAATGTAGGTTTTATGCTGAATGCATAGTTAGAACTCTTATAAAGTTTTAAAAAATGATATGGCAACATAGTAAGTCAGGGACAGTACTCTGACCCTCCATAGTAAGTTATATTGCTAATTAGCTGCCTTTACTATAAAACTTCCAGATCATGGTCTCAACTTTTTCCTCTTATCCCTTTTCCTAACCATTTTAAGCCCAAGTGTAATGTTACCCAAATATTAAGAGTCACAGGAATACTAACTTTCCCATATCTTCGTACATGGCTTCTTTATATAGGATAGCACTATTTCACAAGTAGCCAAGCCCAAATCTATGCATATGTATATAAAAATAAATTTATATACATGTAGGATTTTCATATAAAATGAGGTTGCCTATTTAAAGCAGTAAGAAATAATATATTTTAGAAATTTTGAAATTTGCATTATGACATATACCAGAATAAATTCCAAAAATGTAAATAATGAAATATTGAAAGAAACCAATAAAAGGTCTATTTTCCTCATCCTAGTGAAAGTTTTTCTATGTATAACACAAATTCCAGAATATATCAAGAGAAAAAATGTGTTATATTTCACCACATAAGATCTAAATGCATACTACAGTTAGAGCAGCCTTTTTCATGCTGCTATGCAGCCAAATTATGAACTCAGAAAGGAAACAGACACAAAAACATTACATGACAATTTACTGGAGCCCTATCCCCTAGATAGTGAAAAGCAGAATAGATTTGGCCTCTCTAGCTTACTAGACATGACTGTGATATTCAAGAAACTGCAACAATACAGAGACAAACTTTGGTTAAAAAAATATGGTTGTAATCAGTACACAATCATGGGGTACCATTTCCCTCTTGGAGAGAGTCTAGAGTTCACACATTCCCTTGATTCAGTTCACATATACTGTGTAAAGTTCTCACACATATTGCTTTTTCCCCTTTCCCCACTTAAACATTGAATAATTTTGAGTGATGCTGATGTCTATGTTAAATGAGGTAGATCACACATGGTTCTACGAATAATAATGATATCTGAAAGGAAATATCCTTGACTTGACCATCTAGTAATACCTAATTTTCCTCACTGAGGGACCCTGAAGTTGTGTGGCTTCACAAAGTAATTCAGGATAAGAGACACATTAGTCAGACAAGGAAAGTTCTATGACCACTAACATTTTATGCCATTTTAGATTCTGTAAAAGGTGTTACCATCTCTTAAAGACAGCCTTCTCAAAAATAAAAGTGAGTTATTTCTGTGCCATCATCACTAAACATCTTTACTTTTAACAATATGTGTAAGCATAATCAAAATAAAAGTGGATGACATAAGTAATAGTTAATCCTCCATGTATATGAAAAATCAGAAAAGAACAATTTATTAGTATTTTAGTGCCTTTAAAGAAATAATAAAATTCTCTTAAAACCAAATGTTATCAAAATGCAAAAAAAGTCAAGTTGAGAGTATGTCCTAGAAAACATTAAAAAAATCAACTGTATAAAACATATATATAAAATACAGAGTATCTGATCAAGAGCTACTATAGCTAATAACAATTTCTCTAGAAAGGGAAGTCAAAAAATTAGAGAGGAGGTACTAGAAAAAAATGTCCCTTTAGTAGAAAAAGAAAATATCTTCACAACAAAATGACTTATTGATTACTAACATCAAAAAAAAAAAAAAGAAAGAAAAGAAAAGAAAAAGAAAAAAGAAACGGGGCTAATGTTGTGGCTCAGTGGTAGAGTACTTGCCTAGCATGCATGAGGCACTGGATTTGATCCTCAGCACCACATAAAAATAAAATAAAGAAATTATGTCCACCTACAACTAAAAAATAATATAAAAATAGAAACAAGGAAAGACTTACATGTAAATATCTCATGACTTTATAACAAAAATGTTAAAAAGTTACTAACAATTTCTTAATTATTAATGAATTTACTTGTTTATTTATGTGTGCTAGGAATCAAACCCAGGACCTCCCACATGTTATTCAAGTGCTTTCCCACTGAACTTTCCCTAGACCCAATTAATACTTTTAAGGGCAAAAAGAAGATATGCTACTTTTTATAGGCAATACTGAATGCTAGGATATCTTGGAACAGGGTTTTAAAAACTCTCATATAAACATTTAGAATCAAGAATACTTTAACCAGGAAAACAAATTTATTTTCCAACATGAAATGAATCAAGTAGTTTGCTTCTAAAACATGTTTTCTGGTAATTTACTCTAGGTTGTACTTAAGCAAAATGAGGATAAAACAAAACAAAACAAAATGCATGAGATGTAGAAAATAGCAAATGAGTCACTTAAAAGGAGATTGAGAAATTCCCTTTTTAATTTTTTTTGGTTATCAATAGACCTTTTTATTTTATTTATTTATATGTGGTGCTGAGAATCAAACTCAGTACCTCGCACATACTAGGCAAGTGCTCTGCCACTGAGCCATAACCCCAGCCCCATGAAATTCCCTTTTAATACATGAACTAAGAGTAAAATATACAGTTTTTTGAAGCATGGGGTCAAAGAACTCTAGATAAGTATCTTTGTGGAAAAAAGGAAACACTACCAGGAAAGTAGTATAATTCATAGGGTAGAATCACACAATAAAAATAATCCATTAATTCAGTCAATATATATTCTTGAGCACTGACCTTATTTCTATAGGCACCAAATTAACAATAGTGTGTATGTATACACACAGGCACGTTGATGCACTTGCATGCACACAGATTAAGGGAAAGATCCTCTTCCAAGGAACATTTCTAGAGTTAGAAGATAAAAATGTTAGAATACACACACACACACACACACACTGTACACACATTATTAGAAAAGATATGATTGGGAAAAAAAAAACATGATGTGAAGATAGATGGTAGTCACTATTATTTTCTATAGATTAAGTAGAAAAGTTCTCCTTCCTCAGGATTAGCTTGGGCTGAAACTTTCAGTCTTAGGAACATGTAAGGGAACTGTGCAGCTGAAATGGGGAGAATAACAGGAAGCACTGAACAAGAAGAAAGTAGAGACCTAATAAGACATCATGGGGGACCTTAAAGCTATAATAAAGACTGCATTTGACTCTGAGTGACACAGAAGACAATTGGATGACTTGATGGGATCACTTTTTTATGTAAAAAAAAGTGTTAGGGATAAAGAATGGAAAAATGAAAACCAGTGAAGGGACTATTATAATAATTCAGAGGAAAGATGATGATTATTTGGGATAGGATTTTAACAATGGAAATGACAAGAGGGAGTCAGATTTGTGATATGATTACAAGGTATGGCTGACAGGAGCTTTGACTGGATTGGATATATATGAGAGTAAAAGAGATGAGTCAAGATTGACAGTGAAGTATTTGGCACAAGGAACTGGAACAACAGAGTTTCTACTTTTAGGGATGAGAAGAGTGAAGAAAGAACAGGCTTGAGGAACAGGAAACAAGTATGTGTCAGATATACAAGGCTGAAATTGATGAGAGATGTTTGGAATGGAATTGTATTTTTCCTCAATAAAAAATAAAAATAATTATAAAATTTCAGAAGAAAATAAAACATTGTCACAAGTCAGACATATTCCAAGTATGTAGGAAATTAAATGAAATAACACTTTAAGAATTTGGGGAATGTAAGATTATATCTACAAACACATACATGTAATCTTATTTATATATAATCTTGAATATATAATATTTAATATACATAATCTTCAAATATACATATATGTGTGTTTGTGTATATATGTCTTTATTAATGTATTATTTTACTTCAAATAGCTAATGATCAATACATTGAATTCAAAAGAAAAAATTATAATCTTAGCACACTACTTGATTGGTCAATAAACATTATTTACACATAGCATTTGCATTGTGTTTTATTTGCAGTGGGTTTATTTTTATGTTGTGTAAATTTACAGGCAAGGCAAAGAAAATTATGATTGTGGTTGAAGAACAAAATGTAGGATTTAAAATCTTCTCAAGTGTGAAAGTAAATTTGTAAGTGACAGATGGTAGGAGATGAGAGAGCAAAGGATGTGGAGAATATATGAAGGTACTGATATTCTCATTCTATGCAAAGAAATCAAAATGTGTATATAACTTTTATAGACTAACAAACTGAATTATGAAGTTATTGATTAATATTAAAGTTACCCAACAAAAGAACATGTTATGGCCATAAACTTTTTGACACAGATGAATTTAGGTAATGGAATTACTTAAAAGTTCGAATGTGCTATTGAGAAGTTAATAGATTTTGTTCTAAAGTTAATCAGGATATAGATTTATAAGCATGTTATTTTAATTTTGCAAATTACTTCAATAGATGTTATATTGGAGGCTTAATGTGGGCTAAAGAGAATTGATAAATGAGATTTTCTAAGTCTTTTCAGCAAGATCCCCGCTGTGTTAATTGATTATAGTAGTGATGTAAATATTTAAGAATTTATTAAAAAATATAAAAGCCTTTGATAAATAATAGGAAGAAAAAAGTAAGTTTAAAAACATAGAAGAAATTCTAAAAATGTCACCTTGCAACACACAAATATCTAGTCCCTCCCATATATAAAATATTTCCTTGAACTGTTAAGATTTATTTCATTTCACATACATTTAATAATCTAAACAAGCTGTTTTAGTGCATTGGGCTGTCAGAAATTATAGGCTACAAACTTTCACCAATTGTCATTATAAAATAATAAGGTAATACTGTATTTGATATAAAGCCTTATAAAAATAGAAATAATCTTATAACCCTAAGTACTTGAAAAAGTTAAATGCTATGCTGACATTGATATTGTCCTTTTCAGCATGATAAGAAGATGAGGTTGTACAATGTTTACATTCCTGTAATTATAGAGCAAGGGCAGTGTTCATGCTGTTCACTTTGAGCCATGTAGAGCAAGATTAAGCTCTACATACTCTGGTCATTGTTATCATGCTTAAAATTGTTCTCCTATATTTAATTTTAATAAATTAAAATAAATATTTCTAAGATAGGTAATTTATTATATTTTAACCATAAGGCTTATAATCCTCTAACCACTTAATGAAAACATTGAGTGACTAGTTCCATGTAATGAATTTCCCCAAATACTAAGATGAACTTTGTTGAACAGAGAGCAATGTTTTCTATTTAGACATTCCCTCTTTCTACTGCTTTAATAACCCGATCAGTCAGAGCTATCTCTGACAGTTCTGAATTAAATTTAACATGAAATTTAACTTCTTCCTTACCTTCATGAAGATGGTGTTCTGGATTTTTGCTTCCCTTACCTCCATGTAGATGATTTATTCTTACATGCCAGCAACATGGAAACTGGTTTCTTGGACATATTTTCTTTTATATCTAACACAGGAAGTAAGAAATGAGAACTCTTTCATTAGGGGACCCATTATTAATAATTTCAACTTTTGTTTATTGGTGATATCATGATGGTTAAGATAATAAATGGCCTCATTCTTCAGTGGAAATTTCTCCAACCTAAAGAGAAACACTTGGCCAAACAGGATAAAAGAACGTAAAACATTACATTAATCTTAAACATTAGTCCAAAGTGTATAAACATGTATATTACCCCCAAATTCTGCTGGATTTCTTACAGGTACACCATGAGATTATTTTTATATCATAACTTTGAAAAGAAAATTTACTACTCTTTTATTTTATTTTAAATATTTTTTTAGTTGTAGATGGACACAATACCTTTATTTTATTTATTTTTATGTGGTATTGGGATCAAACCCAGTGCCTCACACATGCTCAGCTAATGCTCTACCCCAGCCCTACTGCTCTTTTAAAAGCAATTTTATTCACATAGAGTTAAATTGAAATATCCATATATGTAGCTCTTACTTTGACTAAGATTCATTTCACATACATTTAATAATTTAATAATCTAATAATCTAATAATCTTTATTTTTAAGGTAAAATTGCTTTTCTATGACTACCATGTTGAACAGATCAAACTTTCTCTTCTGGTTATTTGTATATATTAATATTTTTACTCTGTTGATTACTTTTTCATTTCTGATCAGATTCCTCCTTTTTTTTGCATATTGGAAACCTAGTTCATCTCTGGAACCTAGTTCATCTCTCTCACTAGAACCCAACTGGTCTGGTAGGCAAGTATTGCCCAAATGTGCAAAATTCTTTATGGAAATAGCACATCCTTATGACTTGGTTTTTAACTACACTGTGGCAATGTTTAGCAAAATGATTATATATTTGATATAGTTATCAAAGTTAACCAGATCTTTTTTAAAAATAAATTGTGGGATAGTGTGGAAAATAACATGGCTTTTTGGAGGAGGTATATATTCATATTTTTCCATAGCTCCTTAAATGAAATGTGATTAATACACATGTAGAATTGGTGCATGCTGCTTTCCCTATGATATCTCACCTAAACACCACTCTTTAGATTTGGATGTTTTCAATATGTTAAGGACATTCCAAAGGAATTTTAAAGGGCCAGAATTAAAAATCATCATCTTCCCTTCAAGGAAACTGCTACAAGTAATAAAACATTATTCAAAGTCTTAGCTCATCTTTTTAATATGCCCTCTGCTCTGTGTTACTAGAACCACATGAACCTCTGTTTCTCATTTTACTATATTAACACACTAAACATGGAACCCCAAAATGCTACTTTATGATTACAGAAGGAAGTTTTAATTATATTCTATGCCTTATAGTCGTCAAGATAGGTCTTAGCTTTGCCAAAAGGGTTGAAATAAAAGTGAGCCATTATTTTAAAAAATAGTTAATACTGTACTGGGGTTGTGGCTCAGTGGTAGAGCAGTTGTCTAGTGTGTGTAAGGCACTGGGTTTAATCCTCAGCTCTGCATATAAATAAATTTTAAAAAATAAAGATCCATCAAAAACTGATAAAAATATTTTAAAAATAATTAATCCACTATTCATTTTTCGGACTAATTTCAAATACCTCTTCCTCCTAAAAGCCTAATTGGAAATTATATAGCCTTTCTAGATTTCTCAACTGTCCTATTTCTTTTTCTAGGACATATGCTACACTCTATATTATTGTTATAGTTTATAGTCATCACATTTCTTACTATGGGATTAAGTTATTTGAGAATAGGAATTCTTCCTTACTCATTATGTACAACAATCAAATCTATTTTGTTAGATGAATGTTGAAGTAAACTTAAATTTCCACTTCCCTTCTCAACCTCATTAAAGTACCTATGCATTTTATGTGTAACTTAACCAATGTATCAGCTGAAAAAATATTGTCTATGATTGGTGTAATTCTTCAACTCACCCAGTAAAAACTATAGACAAATGTAAGAATTATAATTAGTTTATTAGTTCATGTTAATCTATTAATTATAATCTATAAGTAGCTATTGAAATGCAATTCTTTTTTTTCTTGGCTAAATATTTCTATTTTATTTAAACAGTCTATTTACTGTCATGTTCCTGTTTTCACTTTCTCTTGCTTAGCCAGCCATGAGTTCTACATATCTTCCTCATAAGGTCTTCTGTGCTCTCCTTGCCCAACTCACAGTTCCTCTGATCACGAAGGCTCCTCCAGGAGTGTATACAAAGATGGGTATTATAGAGCTCCATATGATCCACCATATGTTGCATGCACAAGTAAGTTCATGTTGTGAAAGTAAAAAAGGGCTGAAATGCAATTCTTAAAGTTTATACATATATGTAGCAATGTGAAAAAAGTATCAATGTGAATTTTATGTAAAATTCCTTAGCTTATCTCTCACATTAGAATGTGTTAAAAGTTATCTATGACAATTCAAATTTGTATTTTTCTTTATTGGTTATTTTTTTATAAAATTTTATATGTAAGTATATGACCAGAAAGTACTATAAGATTCAAAGTAATCTAATACAAATCTAATACATCTTGTACACATCACTGTGAGATTGCCAATGTTCGTAAATCTATTGTCATTTGAGTATTTGAAATTAACTGTTCTTCAACCTCTGATATAATTACATTTTAGTAAAATGGCAAAGCAAGGATCAACTCAAACTTTAGATTCACTGCCTATTCATGACCTGAATTTGATATTTCATTTCTTCCAATATAAAATTTAAGTAGAAAAACTTTCTTAAATAACATTTATCCAAAATGTAAAACACAGCTCAAGATAATTCAGAATGTTAAATACAATATGGAATCAGCATGATTTATACCTATTTTACTTATTAAACCATTTATTCAATGGAAAATACATATTTCAGGCTGTCCACATGCTATGCACAGTTGTTGCATTCATTGAGACCATAGCCCAGCAGGAAACATAGATACTGAATAAGTAATAACAAATATGATAAAGATTAATGAACAAGTTTTGTACATTAATTATAGATATAAATGAGCATGGGTTACCTTTTGTATTATATTAAAACACGTTGAAGACATTTATGGATTTAAGCATTTCATGAAACATCTTGTGACTAGTTAGATGATAAATATACATAAAATGAACAAAGAAATTAATATATAAGCCTAGCATCCATGTTGGGTGCCTAAAGGAAATAATGGAATATGAGAAATGTAATGCAAAGAATTTTACATAAGGACTAGATTATATATTCTCAAATTTTATTAGAAACTCTAAGAACAAATCAGGTTTTCACATAGAGTGCAGGACTTAGAATAGATCTAAGAAGACTTTTCAAAGAGTGGCAGTCATTAAATATTATAATTGATTTCCAAATGAAGTTGTCAAATCCTTTTCACATGTCTTTGAAAATAAGATAGGGGTTTCATCTGTTCAGGATGCTTTAATTGTCTCTACATTATGCCAAAACATCTGCTAGTTTCAGTCAATAGTAAAAACTCCGCACTGTCAATTCAAAGAATAAAATCAGATCAATCATTTTTTTGGCATCATGTAGCTCAAACAAACCTGCTGACTGACATTTTTATTTCTCTTCAAATTATTCTAGCTTAATGTAAACTCAAAACTCTTATAGTTCTAAGAGGGCTACATTAACTAAGTAAATTTTCTAATGCTTTTCAACTATACATGCATAAAATTGTTTGTATTCATAATTTATGAATATAAAGTACTTGTAACCCTTATATAATTTGAGTGAGGCATGCTTTAAGTATGCTTGGAAAAAGTTGAAATGAGAAAATGACAATGTTGATATTTAAATTAAAATGTTATTGCTAGAACTCAAGAAGTTGCAATAAAATTCAAAGGTAAGTATATTTTACATAGTTTCCTATATACTCATTATAAATAGCTATATGTAGGGGGAAAAAACGTTGGAAAGAATAGCCGTAACACTAATATTAAGGATAATGAGGAAGAAATTGCTTTTTTAAAATTTCTAGCTAAAATAACAGCTTGGCTGATGCTTGATGAATACCTATTGGATAGAATAATTGGCTGGTTGCTTTATATGTTGAGACACTGATCTGAGATGTGGTAAATAGTGGTATAATTCATCTGTCAATTCAGTATGCTAAAAACAATTCCTTTTTTTTTAGTTTTTAGAGATATTGTGCTATTTTTCCTATTTTGACTAAAACATGGGTAAATTTCTATTTCTATTAATTCAGATTTGAGTGTTAAAAATTGTGTCAATATGAAATGCCAAGTTAGAGTCAGCATACCAAGAAATGGCAAAGGCAGAAGGAAGAATGAGATTCAATAAACAGCCAATTGTAAAGCCATGTTACTGTACTATTCCTAGGGTGTCAGCCATCACATCAAGGTGGTCCCCACTCCATGGAGTAGGGGATCAATACTGGGGTTACTCAAGCACTCCCATGATGCTCAAGATTTAGTGATTGCACTTGTTCATTTCCAGAAATTCTGTCTGGTCCTTTTTCAAATTTTATAGTCTGTTATTTTGTTGTTTCTTTTAGCTTGCTCAATTAACTCAAATGTCTGGGCTGCTAGCCACTCCATTTGTTGAAATTGCTGACTTCTGCATGATGACTTATTTGTCTTGTATCTTGAAATTTTCTTTAAGTTCAAGCTCATTCCAGTAGAATTTTCTCTCTTGTGGGATTCTTGAATGATCTTCTGTGTGGAAGGGCTCTCCAGAGAAGAGTCACATTTGCTTATTCTGGGACCCTAAGGGAGTCTGGATACATCTTCAGGTGATTCATAGGAATAAACTAGGTGTGGGACACCCAGAGACTCTTTGTGCTATCTTCTTAAGATTGTTGTAAATCTGAAACTTCTAAAAATATAATCTGTTTATTAAACATTAGGGATAAGGATGAAATAGATAACAGAGCTATTATGTGCTGTAAGCAATTTGAATGTATTTGGACCATATTTGGGAGCCTCTGAAAGACCGAGTTGTAAATGTTTGCTTCGAAAGCCCCATGAAGGCTCAGGTCAACAAGAGACTTAGGTCAGAAGAGACCAGGTGGAGGCCTGCGCCAGGCAGTAGCAGTGGTACTGAATGGGGGGCAGGAGTCAAGAGAGTAACCAATGGAGTTAACAGCACTGAATCCCTGAATCAGTCAGGGCAGTAGACCAAAGAGGAGAGAAGTCTACCATGAGGGGATTCAAGTTGAAAATTGAAATATTGGAAATGTTTACAGTAGGAAAACAATTCTTAATCCTAATTCAGTTTTGGTCAGGGAATTTTCCAGTGAGAAGGAGAAACTGAATAATAATGGTATATGGGGAAGGAAATTACCATTTACTACATGCTCTACTCAAGTTTTTGTTTATTGTTTTTTTCTTAGGAAATGAATATTTCTAGTGAACACAATTAATTATATGCAGTAGTAAACCTTTATAAAAGTTTCCTTGAGAAGATAATACTTAGGCTAAATGCTTTACATTTCTTTCTTAGTTGTTACATTTATGAGATCATTAAGTTAAGAAGAGGTCAGTGGTTCTAAAAGTATTTTAAAACAACTGCTTCCATGGTCTTTTACAGCATAATATTGATTTTAACTATTCACAGTGTTACTTTGTAACTAAGTCAAGGTATTACTAGTAGCAATAACACTTGAGCCTCAAAACTTCAAAAGTTGTAAACAATATTAAAAGATTGTTTATTCACATAAAATTAAAAATGGTTGTTCCACACCTGTGAGCAATTCTACCTTAAATAATACTTTGGAATGCATGCTTTTTCTATTTTATGGCACCACCATTTTTAGAGATGTCTTCCAAGTTATTATTATGTTCTTTTTTTTCAATCAGTGGGGGAACAAAGGATACACTGGATAATGAATGGTGTTTCTTAAAGGCCAAGATTGAAAGGGACATTTTAATTCCACTCACATTCTATTTTTAAGAACTTAGTCATATAGTCACACCTGCTTCTTGGTCATATATGTGAAATATATTCTAACTGTATGCCCAAAAATAAAAGTTGAGTTTCGAGGGAAGCTACTCAAACTGTGAAACACTCTTCTAGTTATTAAATATCCTATGCTGAGAATACTCCCAAAAGAGAATACCCCAAATCTCATCCAGTCATTGCATCTAATTAAAATCTAGTATTATCAGGAGATGAGCAGTAGCTATTGTCAAGTCTGCATATGGCTCCTCTTCATCTGTAAAATCTATTAATTGGGATGACAAGTTTATCATTTTAGAAGACAGAATAATACTCCACCCTGTCTCTACTCCTTCTTCTTCGGGGACATCCTATACTAAGCTCCAGAACCAATTTATATATTAGGTTACATGGTAATGGAAAATTAAGTTTGTAGAAATTAAATTATGTTTCTGATTAGCTGACTTTTACATAATTATTATAGATTATCTGAGGGAACCCAATGTAATCATGATGGTCATTGAGAATAGAAGAGGAGCCAGAAGTGTTCTCTGAGAGAAAGAGATGTAATGATGAAATGAGGTCAGGGTGATGCAATGTGAGGACTCAACCAACATTGCTATATTTGAAAACAGACAAAGGGGCCATGATCCAAGTAATGTGAGTTGTAATCCTCTAGATGCTAGAAAGGGAAAGAAAATAAATTATTAGCTAGCATTACCATAAAGAAATGTAGCCCTGCTGACAATTTGATTTTGACTTGATGATACTTGTATTGCACTGCCTCCAAAATGGTAAGATAATAAGTTTATGTTGTCTTAAGCCACAAAATTTGTTGTAATTTTTATAGCAGCAAAATAAATTAATGCAAGTCTCTCTTTCCATAAACATCTAGTATGCCATCGTAGTAGTGGAACAGGAAAACTAGAAAAACATTCCCATGTAAAAAGGGAAAGTGGAAGAGAACAAGTAGGAATATCCTAGCATACAGCAAGGATATAGCCTTTTGGAAAGGTATGTGAGTCTCACAATGCCCCTCCCCCAGTAATTAGAGGTGTTCCTTGATTACAGTTGATTTTGATTGGGGAGAAGCAAATTCCCTAATTTTTAGTAGGTAAGTCTCCTAGCTATGCCTTCTTCAAGGTTATTCCTCTGCCATTATTCTCTACCTGAAATAGGTTTTGGGGATTGTGATTTCCTTAGGTACTTCATTGTTTTTAGATCCTGCTTCTTGGTCATATAATTCAGGAGCCATAATATTTTGGTTTTGTAATTACTCCTCCAAATTTGAATAGGCTTATTTTCTATTTAATTTTAGGTAGTTCCAGTGTCTTTAAACACATTGAAGTTGTTTTCAAGTTAGCTAGATATGATATATCCTTGGTTCTATACCTGTGGTGTGCTGTAACTAGCCACTACTGGGTTTCAAGTTCTGATTGGTAAATTTTCAGGCATTTTGGGAGCCAGTTGACATTATGTTGATAGCTTGAAATTGTCTGTGGTGGGAATAGTTATACCATAGACATGAGCAAATACTATAAATCATGGCTTTTTATTTATGTCCTTTTTGAAAGCCATGTGTTAAAAATTTAATAGCACAGCAGTGTCTGTGTCTTTATTTCTCAACTTAATGTGGCTAACTTTACTCCCTCTGAAGAAATCAGTGGGAATACAGCATAACATAATCTTGGCTGCAAAACTGAGTTATGTTTTTCAACTGGGAAGTCATACTAAGCCTTTCATTCAATGATTTTTACATTTTTAACTACTACTGTTTGGTGCTTAGAATGACTCTGATTTTCTATCCCTTTAACTTCTTAAATTTCTGAATTTTCTCCACTTGCTAAATATTTCTGCTTATACATCAGCCAATTATTTCCCTATCTTATCTCCTAATAATACCTTACAAAAAGTGGACCATAAATGTCAACCCATCATTATCACTGCCATTCAAGTTACTGCAGGTGAAATTTTCACCAAATGTTTTCTCACTGTACCAGATGGTTCTCACTGCATTATTGATTTAACTGCCCAACCACTGTCCAACAACTAAACCACTCCATATATTGTAAAGTTTTGTTAAATTGTACCCTACTTCAAAGTGACAATTTCTGTATTACTTCAGATAACATTACCTACTGTAATTGATGAATCCCAAAATGTAATTTTCTCAATACAGTAGAAGTTTATCTTCCACACATATCCAAAATGGATTTCAGCAATTTGCAGATGGCTCTTGTTCAAGTGGTGATTCAGGGATTCAGGCTCCTCTCTTATGGCTCCTGTGTCCAATATACTGCTTTCCGGGTCACTTTGCTCTTCTGCTACCAGCTGGCAGTAAGAAAAAGAGCATTGAGGATAATAAATGGGGCACTTTTATGGGCTAGTTCTGTAAGTGGCATATTTAATTTCTGCTTACATGTCTTTAGCTAGAAATCATTCACATAGGCACTTTATTGCAAAGGACACAGCACATGTAATCTAGATGTTGGTAGAAGACAAGAAATAAATTTTGTAAAAAACCAGCTAGTGTCTAGCACTTTAATTGTTCTGCTAACTATGTTATGTTAATGGCTAATGTGCCCCCATGATTTGATTTTTATCTTATTTTAAAGAATTTTATAATTTTGAATAACACTATATCAACACCATTATGTACTGTCTATTCTGGCTATTAATGGAATTTTCATTTCTGGAAATCAATATCTCCAAAGAAAATCATAAAATACAAAGTATATACCCTGTAATACCCTCTAAGGGTAGCTTCAGAGTAAATTTTCTTATCTCTGAAAACAACATAGATGCATATTTGATTCAGAAGCTGTAAAGCTGTAATCATTAGGCATCTTAGTCATAAAATGTAAGTCCTTGTGTTTAATTTCTGGTGTGGCACAAAGCATTATTCTAGTTATTGAATCTCTTTGAATTACAATGAGTTCATCTGCAAAATAAGAACTGAAAATGTTAGCCATTATGTAGGATTATTGTGTGGATTAAATAAGAAAATGTATATAAACTACTTAGCTCAGGACCTGATAAATAGTAAGCACTAAATAAGTATTAGATATTACTAAACATGCTTTACTTCTGAATTACCAACATTTCAAACTGTCCTCACTGAGAATTCATTAAACCCTGTTATACTCTGGATTTTGAGGCTGTTGTACTCACTTTGATCATACTCATCTAGCTCATCAACTCTAGATATAACATGAATAATTTATATTTTATTTCACCACCAAGCACCAGTGTTTTTCAGATTTATTTTTGGGAAAATCCATATTTTTATTTCCGCAATTTAGGCAATTGTCTTATATCTTCCAAACAGACTTCTGATATGCTAGCAAATAATGAGAAACAACTTAAAATCTATGAAAAGCAGGAGGAGCAACCATGTCTTGGAAGAAGAAAGAAAATGGCATGTGTACATCCATGAAGATTAATGAGCCACCAACACTCATATAATATTAAGATGAAATCCTAACTATGCCACTTTGAAACCTGACAGGATAATGATTAACAATTTTAGAGTGTTTATCATAGGCCAGGCATGTAGATAAAAAGCATGGCAAATGTTAATATATATTAACTCATTCCATATTCACAAATACTGTAAAAATTATGTACTATTACTATCTCCATTTTACAAATGTTCAAACTCTGAGATGCTACATATAAATATTTGTGCAATTATAATGGGGCTAAAACATACATGATAAAGAATCTTCAGTTTTCCATTTGCTTTCTATCCTTGCATTCTTTTCTTGCCATTTTTACTATCTATTTGTGAAATTTAAATATTCTATAAATGACAAACATGCAAAGACAGTTCTTAGAATGTATTATTCCTATGGTTATCCAGACTTCAAAGAAGGAGGATGAAAATAGGAATGATCCTGAACTATGGAGTTTCATTAAGGTAGTAAGCCATTGCCATTATGGTTTGGATCTGAAAATGTTCCTCTAAAAGTTCATGGTTTGAAAGCATGATCCCCAAGGCAGGAATGTTCAGAGGTAAAATGATTGATGATTGACTTATGAAAGCTAATCGACTTCATTAGTGGATTAATCCATTTGGTGAATTAAAAATTTAAATAGATTACTAGGTGGTAACTGTGGACGGGTTGGAAGTAGCTGGAGGAACTAGGTCACTGGAGGAATGTCCTGGTGAAGTTCCAGATGAGGATAACTAGATATGTCATCCAACCACTTCCAGCGTTGGCAGACTCTGGTCACTAGAGGGGGTGTCTCAGATCCTGAAAAAAGACTAAAACAATCATCAGCACCAGAGCAGTAGAATACTGTGGAGTCTTACCCCTGCAGTTAGCTCTCAGAATCCCCCAAAAGCCATGGCCAGATGTAGTTCACTCTGACTTTAACCCCTGGGGACTCAGGATAGTGAAGTGCTTAGTCCGTGGCTGGCCGATTCAGCCCAGGAAATATTTCCAGGATGTACTAGGAGTCAGAGTAGGACCCTAAAGAAGGAGTGGACCAAGAAACATAACAATGTGGTAGCACATAATTTCTCCACTGTCAGTACTGGGAAATATAGAAATAGATGTTATGCAGAGCAATTCTTCCTCAGGGTGACCAAGACAGAGGAATTGTACAGCTTCCCCATGAGTCACATGAGGAAACTGAGAACTGGTGAGGGCAACCACCTTAAGTCCCTAATTATGCATTACTGAAGATAAGAACATTTTAACATAACCATATACTACTAGCCCACTTATTAATATTGAAAATATTTACTTAGTATTATGTAATATATACTATATATCTCACCAATGTTCTCAAAGTTCGCCAAAGGTCACAAAGTTGTCTTTTTTTTTTTTTTTTAGCAATTGTGATTTTTAATATAATAAAAGTCCTGGAGTATGAGAAAAACAACAGGGGACACATAAATGTATTCAATGTAAAAGGGATTGTTTTCCTCAGTCTCACCAAGATTATCAACAGTCCTATTGGAGGGAGGGAAGTGGAGAATGAAATAAAATAATAAAATAAAACAATTATTTTTAGTTCCTTGAGTATATATGTAATGTAAAAATGTCTTTTTTGATTTCATCTTGATCTAAGCTTTTGTTCTCACAGCAGGAAAGAAAGAGAAAAAACATTGTGATTCAAAGTCAATGATCTTGTCTGGTTTAAAACAAGGAGCAATCAAGATGAAGTTCTTCTCAAACTATTTCTCTTATGGGACCCACCTGCCTTTATTCTCAGTTGGTGTCAAGGTATCCTCTTGGCAGCAGGAGGAGGCAAGACCTCAGGTCTGTGTGCTATCCTGTAGCCTTCATTGGTCCCCGGGGAGTACTGGAGAGGATGTGGGGAAAAGGGTACTCTTGTACATTGCTGGTGGGACTGCAAACTGGTGCGGCCAATTTGGAAAGCAGTATGGAGATTCCTGGGAATGCTGGGAATGGAACCACCATTTGACCCAGCTATTGCCCTTCTTGGACTATTCCCTTAAGACCTTAAAAGAGCATACTACAGGGATACTGCTACATCGATGTTCATAGCAACACAATTCACAATTGCTAGACTGTGGAACCAACCCAGATGCCCTTCAATAGATGAATGGATAAAAAAAATGTGGCATTTTTACACCATGGAGTATTACGCAGCACTAAAAAATGACAAAATCATAGAATTTGCAGGGAAATGGATGGCACTAGAGCAGATTATGCTTAGTGAAGCTAGCCAATCCCTAAAAAAACAAATGCCAAATGTCTTCTTTGATATAAGGAGAGTAACTAAGAACAGAGTAGGGATGAAGAGCATGAGAAGAAGATTAACATTAAACAGAGATGAGAGGTGGGAGGGAAAGGGAGAGAAAAGGGAAATTGCATGGTAATGGAGGGAGACCCTCATTGTTATACAAAATTACATATAAGAGGTTGTGAGGGGAATGGGAAAATAAACAAGGAGAGAAATGAATTACAGTGGATGGGGTAGAGAGAGAAGATGGGAGGGGAGGGAGGGGGGATAGTAGAGGATAGGAAAGGTAGCAGAATACAACAGTTACTAATAGGGCATTATGTAAAAATGTGGATGTGTAACCGATGTGATTCTGCAATCTGTATTTGGGGTAAAATTGGGAGTTCATAACCAACTTGAATCTAATGTATGAAATATGATATGTCAAGAGCTTTATAATGTTTTGAACAACCAATAAAAAAAATAAATTAAGAGAAACAATAAGAGAGGTAAATAGGGAGCTGCCGCAGTCTGGCTGGGCACAATCAGGAGCCACTTGTCAAAAGAAACTAACTTTATTTTTAGAACCACACACGCCAAACAAAATAGCCTCTCAGGAAAAACCCTCAGAGCCTCAACTGCCACCACCGGCTTTCCACAAGCCTCTCTCTCCCCCCACAAGCTTCTCTCCACCTCCCACAATCCTCCTGCTCTTGAGGCTGATTGGCTGGGTCACGTGGGCGGAGCCAAAAAAGTCCCCCAATGAGCAGCTCCGTGGTCTGAAAGGGCAGGGAAACAGCCCAATGAGCATCACCGCAGAGGAGCCAATCAGCTAGATGTTGCTGGGGCCAAGGAGCCAATCAGCTAGATGTTGCTGGGGCCGCTGTGAGCCAATCATCAGCCAGCAGCTGGAAGTTTGCTGGCAGCTGGAAGTTTGCTGGGGCCCCTTTGGCTGTGGCTCTCAACATCTCCCCCTCTCTGTTTAAACAACAAGCATGTGGCTTAGGGACCGTGCCTGTTAGGCAGTCCAATTCAACATATGGTCCTTACCCGTCATCGGATGAACTGACCTCTAGGTGTCAGCCTCCTGTCTTAGGTTGGTACCACTGCAATTGGATCATACCCGTCACTGACTACCGGTCCAGCATACAGCCATACTTGTGGATAGGCCTTTGCACCTGTGGGGGGGTGAGGTTCTTTTCCTCACCTCTGTTGGCTCCCAAATTTTAGACCATCACTAGTAGAGGAGGATGCAAAATGCCATGACATTAAGCCAATTGAGGGCTCCTTTGAAAAATTGTACCCCCGGTGACACCATCAGCAAAAATACTCCAGCACTACCACAATTCGCTGTACCAACAGATAGTTCACAATGCATACAGGTGAGCTCACAATGTGTCCAGGCAAGTTCTGCAAGCAGTTCAGTGATGGCTATTGTAGAAGCTGTAGATTGGTTTTATCTTTGACTTCACCAGCACTGGGATGAAGATAGGAATTCTGGCAATAATGGCTAAAGAAAAAATTATGTAACATTACAGAAGGCACTAAAAGAAAACAATTTTCTTAACAATTTATATTATCTTTAAGAGAATTATTAAATATAATGAAAAGAAAGGTGAAAGTAAACAAACAGATCTGTTAACCTTCTTTTTTGTTTACATATTAAAACAATCCTCAACAGTTGTTTACCCAATTTAAATTAAACCATATAAATCACGTGAAAAAAAAAATATTTGGATCCATTTTATCATGAGCGCTCATCTTATATGATATATGGACATACATACATTCAAACATATAACACAAAACACAAGTGTGCACACATAATATAATACATACAACACATAACATTATAGTAAAGGCCTTATAACTTTTTACAGGTGAAATCTCCATTGCAATGTTTAAAAACTCTATAGTCAAAAAATAGAACTGATCAGCAAAACATTAACCTAGGTCTGTATGAGCTCAAAAAACAAAATAGAACTTCATGATATGGCAAAGGGCAATAATAAAATAGATATGGAAAAAAGCATCCTGGTTCTGTTGCAGATGTAAGAATAGCCAAACTGGAGTTTTGGATATCAGTTGTTATGGATTTGAGCCAAATCATCTTCTTTTTGGTCTGTAGAAATCGCTTTAGTTAATCTTTCTGGAATCCAAATCGGCTGCTGTTCTCCCTGTGGAAACAAATAAACAGACCCCTGACTCCAGACAATCACTGGGTCAGGATCTTGGTTAATCTCTCTGGAATCCAAATCGGCTGCTGTTCTCCCTGTGGAAACACACAAACAGACCCCCGACTCCAGACAATTACTGGGTCAGGACCTTTCCATTGTCCTGTTAGAATATCCTTCCAAAGTACCTTGGGCTTATGTACATTTTTTGGACACATATGCCTTTCCGCAGCACTAAGTCCTGATGAATCCAAATTTAAAAAGTTTAGAGTAAAAAGGGTTATTTTAAGTTTATCTTTAGGGAATATATACCCCTTCCCAATTCCTTCTTTTTGCTTTAATAAGTACATTTTAATAGTTTGATGAGCTCTTTCAACTATGCCTTGTCCCTGTGGATTGTATGGGATTCCTGTTATATGAGTAATGCCAAATGTTGAGCAAAATTGTTTAAAAGAGGTAGAAGTATAACCAGGGGCATTATCTGTTTTTAACTGTTTTGGAACACCCACAGTGGCAAAATTTTGTAAGCAATGAGCTATAACATCTTTAGTTTTTTCTCCGGCATGAAGGGAGCCCATCAAAAATCCAGAAGAAGTATCAACTGTAACATGCAAATATTTTAATTTTCCAAATTCTGGCAAGTGTGTGACGTCCATCTGCCAAATATGGTTAGGTATCAATCCTCTAGGATTGACTCCAAGATTAACTTGTGGTAAAAAGGTCACACAATTTTGACATTGTTTTATTATTTGTCTAGCTTTTTCCTTAGTTATTTTAAAACGCTTTTGTAAAGTATTAGCATTGACATGGAACTTTTTATGAAAATTTATAGCTTCTTCTAGTGTAGAGAAAATATGTATGTCATGTGTAGTTTTATCTGCTAAATCATTGCCCAAACTAAGGGCTCCAGGCAATCCTGTATGTGCCCTGATATGTCCTATAAAGAATGGATCTTTTCTGTCCCAGATTAGACTTTGTATAGTGGAAAGCAAAGAGAAAACAGTAGAAGAAGGGGAAATCCTACCAGCATCTTCAAGAGATACTATAGCATTAACTACATACTGACTATCAGAAAATAAATTAAATACAGAATCTTTAAACATCACAAAAGCTTGTAAAACTGCATTAAGCTCTACCTTTTGAGCTGATTGTTTGGGTACTAAAAATGTAAAAGTTTGATCAGGGGTAACTACTGCTGCTGTACCATTATTTGACCCATCAGTGAATATATTTGGAGCATTCATGATAGGTGTTTTTCTTGTCATTTTTGGAAAAATTACAGGATGCAATGACCAAAAAGACAATAAAGGATTAGATGGTAAGTGGTCATCAAATGAAACATTAGATTTGCACATGATTATTGCCCAAGTATTTAACTCATTAGCTAACTCATCAATTTGATTCATAGTATATGGAGTAATAATTTTATTGGGAGAAATTCCAAACACTCCCTTTGCTGCTTTTATTCCTTTGAGTATTAATTGTCCTACAGCCTCAGGATACCTAGTAAGAATAGTGTTAGGAGAATAAGATAAATGTATCCATAACAATGGACCTTCTTGCCAAAATACTCCTGTAGGAATATTTTTTGTTGGTAGTACAATAAATAATAAAGGCAAACTTATATCAATTCTATCCAAATGCATATTTTCCATATATGTTTCAATGATTTTTAATGCCTTTCTTGCTTCAGGCGTTAACATTCGGGGTGAATTTGGATCTGATGGACCTTTTAGGATATCAAATAAAGGTCCCAACTCTCCTGTTGGTACACCTAAATAAGGCCTTATCCAATTTATGTCTCCTAATAACTTTTGAAAGTCATTAAGTGATTTGAGTTGATCTACTCGTATTTGAATTTTTGGTGGACGGACCATGGTTGAGGATAGTAGAACTCCTAAATAATTAATTGGAAAATTTAATTGTACTTTATCTATTGCTATCTCTAGATTATAATTTTTTAATAAGTTTGTAAGTGTGGCATAACATTCTAGCAATGTGTTTTTATCTTTGTGTGCTAATAATACATCATCCATATAGTGAAATATTTGTAGTTCAGGATTTTGATTTCTAAGTGGCTGGATTACTTTGTTAACATAAATTTGACACATAGTTGGGCTGTTAGCCATCCCTTGAGGGAGTACTTTCCATTCATATCTCTGATCAGGACCTTCATGATTCAGTGCAGGGATAGTAAATGCAAAACGTGGACTATCCTCAGGATGAATTGGAATTGAAAAAAAACAATCTTTAATATCTATAACTAAAACATACCAGGTTTTTGGCAAAGCAGACAACTGAGGAATCCCTGATTGAGCAGGTCCCATAATAACCATCTCATTATTAATGGCTCTTAAATCTTGCAATAATCTCCATTTACCAGATTTCTTTTTGATGACAAAAATGGGAGTATTATGGGGAGATACAGAAGGTTGTATATGTCCTTCTGCTAATTGTTGTTTGACCAGGTCATGGGCTGCTTGTATCTTTTCTTTAGTCAGGGGCCACTGAGGAACCCATACTGGTCTTTCTGATTTCCAAGTAATTTTTATTGTCTCAGTGGCCCTTTCTGAAAATCCAACCCATGTCTGTCTGTTCCTTGATCTATTTGTATTGGTGCTGCTATACCTTGTTCTTGTTTTTCTAATCTTTTTCCTTTCCTAAAACCTTGTCTAGTCATAATAGTGGGTGCATTTTGGTTGATGTTATTTGTTAATGTCAAACCTAATTGATCTAGGACATCTCGTCCCCATAAATTTATAGGAAGATGATCCAATACATATGGCTGTATAGTTCCTTCACATCCTTCAGGATCCTTCCAATCTAATACCATTGCACTTCTATGGGGATTAGTTGCCACTCCTAGGCCTCGAAGCGTTTGAGTGGCTTGTTGTAATGGCCAATGTTTTGGCCATTCTTGACGAGAGATGATGCTAAGGTCTGCACCTGTATCCAGTATCCCATTAAATTCATGTCCTTGAATATTTAGTTTTAGCATGGGGCGAGAATCTAAATTTAAAGAAAGCATAGCCCAATCTACACCTG